ACAATTTACATGCAGGGTTTTTTATCTTTCATTCATGTGCAAAAGTAGATTTTTTTTRTTTCAAGAGTTGCACTAATTGAATATTTCAGGGTCTCTTTAACTGTTACAAGTTATTTGTGTAAATTTTCTTGTGTTATTAAGAAGACACTTAATGCAAAGTTTTTGTGAAGAAAGTTTATTTTTATATTATCTCTGGTGATGTGCTGCCAGTGAGGTGTGTGTGAAAGATGAGTGTTTTTGTATAAGAATTAATGTTTTATTATTATTATTGTATGGAAACAGCTTGACGGGGATTTAAAACAAGTTTTTTTAAAGAAAGTTAAAATCTGAAGGAGTGAATGAAGCCAGTCGTGGTCATACTGTATATCTGGAGGGAGTAAATGTGACAAACATGAATATTTGAATTCGGTGCTATAACGAAGTCAACATCTTGATGTTTTGATGTCTTTTTAAATACTTTAATGAAATAAAATGAAGCAGAACAGTTTTAAAATCAAGGTTTCATTTCCCAGCTTCAGCAACAGATATTTAATCATAAAGTACTTGTTTACATCAGTTAAATACGAAAACATTTACCGCTACCCCGTTTAGTTTATAGAAATAAAACTGATTTTAAATAAAATTACTTTTCAAACCCTTTTAGTCCAGATGATAAACAGCTGATCAGGCCTGATGATCATGAAAGAGTCACCTTTAAGGCCTTTATTTTCAAATAAATCCTGCCTATTGGCAGCTAGCAGACAGGAAGTACAGCAGAGCTGCATTACATCACTTCCTGTTTGTGTAAACTTACATCATGTTTATCAGATGTTTTAGAGTGAATCTGATGTGATTTCATGTTTAACATCAGCAGCAGCTTCCTCACCCAGATCTAACAGAAAACAAGACCATTTAACCCAATTCAACCAGGAGACCTTTCAAAATAAAAGCCTCTCACATTCACAGGAAGTTGGAAAGAATTTGTTTTTAATGGAGTTTTAATCTAGCAGATGTAAGAAGTCATAAATCCTAAAGAAAGTGATGAAACGTGTTTAATAGTTTAGGTTCTGGTTGATGACAGGTGACCAACGACTGCAGGTGAAAACAGGACCCGGGTGGAGGTGGAGCTCCTGAACTCATCCAACTTTAACAGTTAGACACACGTGTCCAACTGAACAGAGGAAAACAACAGATTTCATGATGTGTGGAGGTCCTGCAGGACTTCCTCCTGCCGCTCCGTCAGCAGGAGGAACTGTTACAGCTTGATTTGGACGATAATGAAAGGTTTCCTCCAGGTTTATTTAAAAACACAGCATCAACAGCAGAAGTGTCTGAATGTGAGCCGCTGATGAACTCCTCCTCCTCCTCCTCCTCCTCCTCAGGAGGACAGCCTGTGTAGTCTCCAGCCCACAGTTTGTTTCTGGACGCTCTCCTCACAGATCTGTCCGTGCCTTGGCGGCTGCAGGAGCATATTTGGGCATGAGCTCCGTGATTTTACGGATGAAGTCGGACTTTTCGGCGCAGCCTTTGCACGACTCGCCCCAGTCCTCCAGGATCTTCTTCAGGTCCTTCACCTTCAGCTTCTTCAGGTCCACGGAGGTCAGGTCCAGCTGTTTGTCTGCGCGGGGGACAGGAACGGGTTAAACCAGGGGGGCGGGGCTTTGTGTCGACCCGTCTCAGCCCGTCAGAAACTCACCGTATCTCAGCTCGCAGATCTGGCTGTCCTTCTTCTTCAGCTTCTCACAGATCTTCTCCACTGGGACGTGGTGGCTGAGGGGTTTGGACACCTCGTTGACGATCTTGGTGGCTGCGTCGCTCGTTGCTCCGATGTAATAACACTGAGCAGGGTTAGAGAAGCACAGGTCCAACGACCTTCAACGTTTCTACAACATCTGCTAAAAACATCTCTGCATTTTAGACTGGCTTTAAAGGATCCAGGATCAGTTGTAACATTTTATTTAATAAACGTATATTTTAACTGTAAAAGACTGTAAAAGTATTGTAGGATGTTCAGTTTTTAAAAATATATTTTAACACGGAAGGAGCCATTTTATTTCCACACAAAGCATTCTGGGTAAATGATGACGTGGATAGGTCCTCGGTGCGAGGCTGCTAGCGAGCTATATCCACCCTGAAGGTTAATCTTGGACAATATCAAATGAAACCAGAGAGCGTTGACAGAGAGGAGAAGGTAGAAATGTCTCAGCATGTAACTGAAAATAAGGATGGAGGACCTCAGTTTAGCTTGTTTGTTGCGCTAGCGCCGAGCTAATATATCCAGTATAAGGCAATATAGTGTCAGTGCTAACGCTAAAGCTAACAAGCTAAGCTGAGGTTGTTCTTCCATGAAGCAGCTCTGTTGTCCTCCATCC